CCATTCGCCCGCGGGCTCCCGGTCGCCTCGCCAAGACTAGGCCTCTCGGGCTTCAGGAACTCCCACTTCGAGGCGTCCTTCGCCTTCGCCCGGGGCAACAGAGGGGAGGGGGTGACGATTGAGGTTTCATGTGGGATGGGGCAAAAATCTAGGAAGTTAAAAGGATGCAAATGCGTTTATTGGAAATCTAGGCGTTCGTGGTGTCGGGAGCGCAAGCCCAGTCGTGTTTTTACCCGAGCCTGACACTAGAGAGAGCCCTCCGCCCGGGCATGAAGCCCGACACCGTTTCCGCACCCTCCACCCCACCCCCACCTTCTCACCACGCCCCTCCTCCTTCCCAGTGACCTAGTTTAGACCAAATGTCCAGATTTGGATAACTCCCTCCTCCATCCACCCCACCGCCCTGTTCTGGGCGGCCGCTGGATTATTGGTAATCTAATAACTCCAATAATTCGCTGAACTATCCAAAGGGGAATTGGAAAGTGTAAAGCACTATTTGGGGGGGCGGGCTGGAAGGAGGAATTTTATTCAGGTGGGAGCTGCCGGCTGCTGCAGCAGGGCGCCTTTGGAGCCCTGGGGTGTTGTCGCAGTGTGTCCGCTCAGTCTCTGGGGCTAAGGCCCCCGGCTAGGGGAAGTTAGGTCAAACAGTTCAGTGTCTTGGCTTGGGAGGGCAGGGGGCACTTTCCGCTCTTGGTTCGGGGTGGGGTGAGGGGGAAGGTCCAGAGGTGATCATAAATTTTGAAAGTGAATTTGGTAACGTAGTGGTCGCAGCGGCCGCTTTGGGTGAGCGAGGTGTCGGGGACATTATGTCCTGACTTTCCTTTCTATCACGTTTCCTGCCAACAGCGCTCTTAGAAGCTGCCAGCTTCTAGGAAATGCAATAAAATAGAGGGATGTGTTTTATCTTCAAGATCTGAAGAGGTTCTGCCGCAAGGACGCTCCCCATGCATGCGACAGCCTCCCAAAGAACCACAGAGCATGCCAGCATACCGCGTCCGCCGGCAGAGAATTCTCTCGGTTGGCCTGGAGGGACTGGCCTGGCTGAGGAGGAGATAGGCATGATCTCCCAAGTGGACAATGCTTTTCAAAACCCGATCTTGACAGAAGTCAGCCAAGGTCTTATTCACGTTAAAGAAGATGGAAGGCACTAACTGTCCTTGGAAAGCGATGAGTCCAACTGGACCGCGCTTCAAACAAATCCCCAGATTCGTCTCCAACCAGAACAGAGGCGCGTTTCTCTCTCCCGCAGGGTGAGAGGCCGAACTGGATCCCAGTGGCCCCGGCGGGGAGCCGGCTTCGCCCGCTGCTGGAGCGCCGGCCGCCGCCAGGGGCAGCCAGCTCGCTGGACGCGTGTTGGCCATCTTAAGTCACGCGCTGGGAGAGAGAAAACTTTGCTGCAAAGCTGGGGTGGCATCAATTCTACCAGGATTACGCTCTGCCAACGCATACAATAAACCAATACAGAGACACAGCTGGCTTCTCGCCAGGCCTTTGGCCCCTTTTTGTAGGCGTGCCATAAGCAAAGGATGGAAGAAGGGGGAAGGAGTGATTTTAGCGGTCAAGCCAGAGTGAGCCTGGGTTAAGGAGAGACAGGCTAGTGCTGGTCTCGGCAACAGGTCTTCACAGAGATCTCTCAGTGTGCAAGCATATCCTTGAGCTCTGAGATGCACCCCCTCCTCTGTCCCCCAGCCCCAACCCCAAGGCAGGTTTTTAAAGTCCGTTACCAAAAATCATATGGCCATACTTAGAAACAAATTCCTTCAAGCCTCCTGGGGAATTGTTCCAACATGACCTAAGCCATCTGGCTTTGCTTGCTGCACCTTTCTCTCAGACATGTCAAAAAAGCACGAAGAAAAAACCTCTGACTTTAAGTTGCTGGCCTAAAATTCAGAAGCTTAGAATCTGATCTCGTCAGTTATGTCACCAACTCTCAACGAGTAAGTCCCTTCCTTGGGAGTGGTTCCTCAACTGTGAAATTAATTAGCAGTCCTGGAGTCGTCGCTGTACCTGCCCTACCCACTTCCCCAACAGTGGGGGGTGCGGGTGGGGG